CCCTCTCTCCCCAGGGCTTTCACCTTTAACTGCACCTCTGTTCTTTTTTTTATATATATATCACTCTTCACCCTCCCATGCTAACCTCTGTCAAGCTGCCCCTCCGCCCCACTCATCTCTCGTGTTCTCCTTTTTTGAGGTCTCTGCTTTTCTCTCCAAGACACCTTTTGCCCACTTTTCGTGTCTCTGAATTTCTTTTGCTCCACTATATCCTTTGTTTGAGTCACATGTTCTCCTCCTGACCCCTAACACTCAGCTCTTTAGTTCATTTCTTTTTTTCCCCCTCTCTCGTTGTTTTTTTATTAGTAATGAGAATCTTTTGAAAACACCTAGCATCACTTTCATGATCTTTTGAACTTACATTTCTCTCTGGACATTTCTGATCTTTCTCCTTCTCGTTCCCATCTGTTACTTTTGGTAACCCTGTAACCCTGACATGTCTTCTGCTCCATCGTTCCTCATCAACTTTTCCCCCCCTAATTATTCCCTTGTCCTTTAATTTACCTCTTTACTCCATCCATGAGTCTTCATGGATTTCAAAGTCAACTGAACTAGACTGAATCATGCTTTCTTTTTTCCCCTCTTTTTCATCATGCTATCCTCATCCTTTTTCAAATTATAAGAAAATGAATGTATATCCAACAAAGGAGAATAAGCTCATTGCAGACTCTTAGCCAGAACTCATTCAATAAAATGAAAATGGCAGAAGGTGTCGGCAGAAGTGGGATATAACCAACAGATGTAAAAGAATGGGGCAGGAACAAGGTGCCAGAAAGGAGTTGGGTACGCTGCAAGAAGGGGCTAAAATAAAAATTAGGTTCGAGCATCAGGTAACTGGGTCTGGCAGAAAAGAGCAATAAATTCAGTTGAAGTATTGGGAAGTGTCAAATCTGCAAAAATATAGCAGCACACCCAGAGAAAAAGAAAAAGATGTGTGAATCTACAAAATGTGTTTTTATGCCACATACCAAATCAGACTTTGTGCAGTGTTGACAATAGGGCTGCCACAAACGATTATTTTGATAGTCGACTAGTAACCGATTATTTTTGCGATTAGTTGACTAATCAGATCATGCATCCATTGAACGTAAAACGTACAGCTTATTGCACCAGCATGCATCTGCTCTTATATAACTATCATTAGCTTACAGCTTGAAGTGTTTAAGGTATGTGCTAACTAAAAAAAAAGACAAGATGATCGTTTATAAAATTTGAATGAAATTAGCAGATTGTCTCGGTGGAGTTTAATAAACTCAGTCTCGTCTGCTCCTTGCTATCTAAAATATAACAGGACACCGGAGTATATTCTCGAGCATCTCACACTTCTGATAATCAGCTGTCTGCTTGACATTTATTCAGCTGTGTAAAAACTATAACTTTAATCTCAGCCAAACCGATTCACTCAGGAACAAATAAAATACTGAAAAAAAGCCAAACAATAACATTTTTAAGTTATCTAAGTGAATATATATCATGTTTAACCTGAGTAGCGAAAGATGGCGGTGGGTTTGAAAACGATTTCCAGGAGTCCGGTGTTCTCACCGGGTCTAGTGAGCCTTGAACCCTGGCTAGCTATTGAGCTAGTGGGTAACAGACGTCTCCGAAAACGTCGGAGCGCTTTTGAAAATATGTGGTGTCTTGATAAACTGAGCAGATATTTGAAGTTTATACAGCTACATTCCCGCCTGAAAATATGTTAAACGTTGATTTTGTGACCCAGTAATATTAAAACTAACTAGCAGCCGCCATTGTTGGAAACTGAGCACGGCCGCGCTGGGCCACGCTATGAATTCTGGGACATCCTTGTACATGCAGTGCTGCCATCTTCTGTTTCAGTCCGTTATTACACTCTTAAATCCTACTACTTATTCCTGCGTCTTTCGGGATCTTACAAAGCTTCAAACGACGTGTCGACTATTCATTCAGTCGTCGACGATTTTAATAGTCGACGTAATCGTGACTAGTCGACTAATCGTGGCAGCCCTACTGTTGACAACAACCAATACTGCTGTGAAAGCAACTGAAACTACTTCAAACTTGAAGAAGAGTTAAAGCTACACTGAAACTAACATAAGAGAAGTCTAGCTTCAAGTGATTTTGTAAAATCAATCAATCATTCAATGAAAATAACATAATGCCCCAAAACTACTTGAATCACTAAACAAATATGAATGAAGTGGAACTACCTGGAAGCTGTTGAAAAATTTAAATAAACTCCTGGTTTAATTATGTAGCTCACAACACCCTGACACTTAAAATTAGAGATTTAATATTCAGCCCCTGCAATTCTCAGTACCCAGCAATGACCAATTAATTCGCCTAGAACAATGTGTGAAAAATTGCTAACTTCTTTGCTTTGTGTTATTCATCGGCTACCAGTAGAAACTGTGCACTCAGGCAAAAGGAGAATCTGAAAATATTACTGGCAATATTCTAAAGAATGGAGAAAGAGAAATAAAATCGTGGGGTTTTTTGTTGTGTTTTTAACCAAACTTTCCTCTCCTTTGTTATTTTTGCTTTTGGTCATGTCTATCTCCTTCTTTAACATAAATGCATTTTACCTTTTTTTCCAGTCCATCTTCACACATCTCATCTCTGTCTTCCATCAGAGCCATAAAAGCCTCTCTTATTACTCGCTTTACTCCTCGTCTCATCCATCTTCCTTGTTTCCATTTTTCTACCCTCTCCCTTCTCTTGTCACCAGCCCACGGCGCACACCTTCTCGTCACTCTTTCCGACACCCCATCCTCCTATCTTGTTCAAAGTATCACACTGCCTTGGTCATTGTCCGCTCAGCTTGCGTTCTTAATCTTTATTTTCTGCTGTCTGTTTACTTATCACCACCGCTCTGCCCCTCCCAAACCCAATTTCTCACCTTTCCTTTCTCCCCCCCTACCCTTCTCTTTTTTGATAGTGTTTTATCCCTCCACGGGAATGGCTTTGCTGCAACGGGTTTTTGAGGTATTGACGTTTCCACTGATATGGGCTTGGTTATCTGTCAGGTCCGGGGCCAGAGTGTAATGGCTCTGTAATTGGATAAGGTATAGGATTTTTGTCAGTAGGGTACATTGCAAACTGCCTCACCCTCTATTTTATCATATGACTATCATCTCTCATTCTTCTTCCACTTCACTTAGCGCTCTTCTCCCACTCTCCTGTGCCTTTGTGGTCTTACCCTTTTCCCCTGCCCTCACTTTGTCCACACATTTCAGTTTTCACTTGGAAAAAAAACCCAAAACAACATCTGTCACTCTCCAACACTATCTTATCTGCATGTGTGTCCTTTAGACAAGTGAGTCTAGAAGAATGAAAGAACTGACATAGCCAGTTCAGAGTCTATCCACAAGCAAGCTTTGTGAACTGTCTTGTGGACAAGTCCAGGAAAAAAGTATCTACTTCTCCACACATCTGTTTTATGCACCCCTTTGTGCTTTCTTTTTGGTATTTTACAATTCTAATAGTAGGAAAGACACACTGTGATGTTGACATTTATGCCATATTTTGTTTTGTTTTTTCTTCTTATCTCTGGCTTTTATTATAACGGCAAATGAAAATTAGGTCAGTGTCATCATTTTTTGTTCCCTTGCATCTTGCAGTTGCCTTGCTCTTTTGTTTCTGGACCATTTACCCTGAGGTTCATTTAACCCGCAAGGTCCAGGGGAGTTTGGCCTTTCCCGGGTAGACAACTGGAGGGGTGAAAAGGGGACAAGTTTTAGGGGACACATGAGAGTTTAGCTGGCAATGAAGACAGAGCAATGAGTTTTTAGGCTATCGCAAGGACGTCGACTGCCACTGAGGGGATTAGGAAACAAAACACAGCCATCTACCCCATCAGTCTTCACTATAGTCATAGGAAAGTGGCACTGAAACACTCGCCCTCATTGTTCTCAGAGATACTCATTTTCAGATACTCATTAAAGCAATACATCACTTTTGGAAGAAGATTTTTCCACAATAGTGCATCTAGCCCCGGAGATCATAACCTTTAACCCTTTTAAGTTACGATGGCTTTCCAAGCATATTTGATGGTCTTCTAATCTATTCAAAACAGTAAAGAAGAGGTCAAACAATTACTCTGTACTTTTGAGCAAGTAATTTCCCTCAGGCCCAATGCCCACTTTGAAAATAACCAAAAGAATTACTTTGTATTTATTCTAACTGAACTGTGTACAGTGAAAATCAAAATCCATGCTCCACCAGGGGGTAATTCCACTTTAATCTGCACTCAAGGATGCACATATCAAACAAAAGCTTAGCTGAAAATGAACGGAGACATAACCATATGTAGGTGTCAAGACGAAATGGGTTACATGACAGCACTTGCAATTTGACTTATAGGCTTATAGTCTCATTCCGTTTGTACAGGCTGTTGTTGTATTTTGGGATGAAAAGATAGTGTTCTTCCAATTTAATTGTATTTTGTTGTTGAAAAGTGATGATTTCAAGAATGAAATGGATGAAAGTGATGCTCGAGCATTTCAAAAGTGTCTTTATGTCTCAGCTACTGGCATTAAAAACGAATCCTTCTTGAAACCTCATAAATACTAATGACCTTCCTCTTGAAGCTGAGGCATCTTCTATATTGGAGAACATATAATTCTAATAATCATAACAGGGAGCGTATTCTCCTCATTCTTGTGAAACATCTTTATTGTCAGAAGGCTCTCTCCCTGTATGCAAAGCATTTAATAAATTATTACTTCTACACTGGTGCTTGCTAGGAGCAAATTTCTGGGCTACACTCTGGTGGACACTGACCATTAATAATAGGATCGACTAACCTTGTAACGATTAATGCTTTTTGCAAAATGTCATTATTGGAGTACAGTGAGTTTCTTTACCTGTCTTGGATTCTGCTCTAACAGAAGTCTTTGCCAATAAGATACAATTGTACCTCACTTTTGTATCATTTTTTATCATACTGCTAAAATTATATAAACTATTTGGGGAAAACTGACCTTTGATGTCCTACTCATTATGAATAATTACTGACTTTGCAGGAGCCGGTGGATGGTCACCTCTAGACAGTGACCATTACCAGTGGCTACAGGTGGACCTCGGTTCAAGAAAGCAGGTGAGCGCCATAGCAACACAGGGTCGCTACAGCAGCTCTGATTGGACGACGCAGTATCGCCTTCTCTACAGTGACACAGGAAGGAACTGGAAACCTTATCATCAAGATGGCAACATTTGGGTGAGTGGACCAGTAATTTGCGTGGCTGTTATGCGTGTGTGTCAAATGCACAGGTGCAAACTATAAGACTATTAAAATGTTCACATCCTGTGGCCCACACTTGCTTCTAAAGCATCCCATCTGTTTTGGATTACTTCCCAATCACCTTAATTTACCTTAATTTCAAATATGTGAGAGTTCTAGCAGTTTAATTCAGTTCTTTTCTACACCATCGCACACTGGGACAGCTATTTAAAGTAGAGTAAATGACTTGCTCTTGAAACAAATGATGGCATTTCATTAATCCAAATATTGCTAAGTCTATTCTCAAGTCTTGATGGTATATTGCCAAATTGGGTTGGA